GGTGCGTTATTCTCCATTACACGTATAGTATAAAATGACTGAGGGAATTGTGGTGCGTTGTCATTAACATCCAGTATATGCACAGTTATTGTTTCGTTGTCAGACAAAGGCGGCGTTCCTGCATCCGTCACAATCAGTGTGATGTCATATTCAGGTACCGATTCACGATCCAAAGGTTCAGACACTATGAGCCTGTAATGCATGGGTGTATCTGATGACTTGTTAAGAATAAATGGCATGGGCTGATTAATGGATAAGCTTACGTTTCCATTATTGCCAGTGTCTTTGTCTCTTATACCTACAACAGCAATGACACTTCCTACTGGGATGTTTTCATCCACTGTGTTTTTTACAGACTGTATGGTAATTTCCGGATAATTATCATTCATGTCCGTCACGTGGACGACTACTTTACACTGACCCAGCAAGGGATGCGTCCCCTTGTCTCTTGCCTCAATGTGCATCTCATACAATGTCATATCTTCATAGTCAATAGTACCCTTCACAGTTATCTCCCCAGTGTTAGGGTTCAATTCAAATACGTCTTGTGTTTTTTCTGATGTGTAAAGGGTGAATGAGTAGACTATCTCTGAATTCAGACCCTCATCAAGATCTGTAGCTTTAAGCGTCATCACTAATGTTCCAATCGGGGCATTTTCTGTCATATTAATTGTGTAAGTCTGTTCGTCAAACTGCGGAGGATTATCGTTAGTATCCTGTACTCTCACAATAATATTGGCAGTGCCGGAGCGCACGGGGACCCCACCGTCCACAGCAGTCAGTATTAGATTATGAACAGCATTCTCCTCTCGGTCTAAAGACTTGGTCAACACCAAATCAACATATTGAGTTCCATCACTGCCTGTCTGCATTTCGATGGCAAAATGTTCACTGTTACTGAGTTTGTATGTTTTAATTGTATTCATGCCAACATCTGGATCCACACCGTTAGGCAGGGAGAATCTCTCTCCTGGTGTTGCCGATTCTGAAACGTCGAGCTCAACTCTGTCTCTTCGGAAATGTGGAGCGTTATCATTAATATCCGTTATTCCAAGTTCAATGTTGAAGATACGTAACGGGCTTTCTATGATAACATCAAGCTTAAGGAAACAGGCGGTAGTTTTTGTCGGACAAAGATATTCCCTGTCCATCTTTTCCACGATGTACAACTCTCCCGTCTTTTTATTGACATCTAGATACTTTTTGTTATGGAAAATATCAAGTTTTACCTCTCGTTGTGCCAAACCTCCAAGCTCAAGTCCCAAATCAGCAGCAAGATTCGCCACAACAGAGCCCCTTTCCATCTCCTCGGCTATGGAGTACCGTGTCACACACAAGGCGCTGGGCCATACTGCAGACAGGACAAAGACGGTTGACCAAAAATGCATCCTTTCGTCTGCCAGAAAGAATACTCCAGATTGTGAAAACGTGATGTTTGTTGATTTTTAAGACCGTGAAAATATCTTAGGACGTGTCAAAAATAGAAAGCACATCTTCCAAAAGGCTGTGTCCTATAATACACCCTTTACAAATGGGTGTGTCACGATTACCAGGATGGAGATGCATTATGCTTTAGTGGTCAACAGTGACACCTTGTGACCGAAACTAAACATTGTGCAGTAACTGTGCAGTCAGAATCAGCTTTGTTGACCTGTCAAAAAAATACTTCTCACAGGACAAACATCTGCACAAGCACACAATGCATTGGTTTTGATATTTATTTTTCATGTTCAGTGTGTGTACTTCAATTTAATTCATTATTATTGTCCCTCAAGAGAAAACTTTGGTTTAGAGTCGAGGGCAAAAACACAAACACAGCCTTTCTGCAGCTTGCAGATGTGTTGAGGTCATGGTTCAAGATCTTGTCGACCACTGTTCCCATATTTGTAGCACTCCAGTAAGACCTGTTAAAAACTGGCAAACAGGTGTACCATGCTTCTTAACCATTCCATGCTGGTAACAGTTTCAGCCCCTAGACAAGAGATACAGAAAATGGATTAAATAATGTAATTGAGTTTATTGTCCATGTAAATGGAATGTTTTACGTCATGCTATCATTGACTTTATTTAAAAAAAAAAAACAAGCTACCCTTGTTTAATATCTCTTGAATATGTTTTTAAAGTTGCTCAAAACAATTTATTGTGGATTTGAACAATTTCAGGTAAAAAGTTAATTAAATAATGCTGCTTGTGGTGAATTTATTTTCTATTATTACCAGCTTTATATAGCTTTTGTATCTGCATTTACCCGATTCGCTTGTTTGGTGTTGTTTTGTGAAAACAGGGAAGGAGATATATTGCATTTTAAGTCACTATTTTACACCGTTTGATTGCTCTCCTCTGGTTTTTTGGATTTCCTTTGCTGCCGAGTGTGCACATTTATGTGAAACAGAGGAGCCAAAAGGAATAGAAAATTGGCCAATGGCTTCAATTAATCCAGCTAGAGACAGATTTCCAAAACAAAAAAAACAAAGAAACTTGTTACAAATAATGGAAATTAAATAAAGTGCAAGGAGAAGCCTTCCTATTTTTCATCAGGAGCCAAATCCCAGGTAGCCTTGATCATTAGATGTCATTGAACCTCATATTGAATTAATCAACAACAAATGAACAAATCATTCTAATTCGAGAGACAACAAGAGATGAGGCCATAGACGAGAATTGTACACATTGCAAATAAAGACCCACATCTGTGCGATCCATCATCCCTTATTTGACCTGATCTGCGATTTTGTGCATGTACGTGTACACGTGCACCTTTTGGCTCAATTCAATATTATCTAATATGATCAGATATGTGCCTGTTAGCTCAACTAGATGTTATCTAATATAATGGTAATTTCTGGCGAGAGGGGTTGTTGTCCTGCACAGGAATGTTCCTGTGACGGTGGAGCCTTGAGATCCCTAGAGATGTGTGTTGTTTGCGAGTGCGGGTGTGACATGTGGCTAAACATATAATGATACTAAATGCATGATGTTGATACTACCATATCTGGGGCTTTTCATCACTCATGTTTCATAGCCTGTGTCTATCTGTCTGAAATCATCAGCATGTCTGACAGCCTAGAATATCTTGTATTGTGCATGATGTTTGTGGGAAAGCCAAGCTTTTTTTATTATGAACACACTAATAGGAACATGTATTTCCCTAATTAACCATTTGAAGTCATTGTTCCACTGACTCATTTTTCAGGTTCAATTCATATAATTTTTAACACCATGATGTGACCTGCAAAGAGAAAAGGACAGCTTGCACCTGTAACATTTTGTCCGCTCTTCTAGGGGACTGTCTGCAATGTACATTATATTTTACATTACATTACAGTCATTTAACAGACGCTTTTATCCAAAGCGACTTACAATAACTGTATTCAACATCGGTTTTCGAGAGAACAACTGTCACCAGAAGTCATAAGTGGAGTAGAAGTAAAAAGCAATATATACCATTCTCACAACAACAATTACTTCAAGTGTGTGCTTAGCTACTCCTTTAGTAACTACTACATATGTTATTTCCCACCACTGGCTGTATGTCAGACCTTTTAACAGCAGTTCATGGGGCCTCTATGGTTGTGACTGTGACCCTGCTGTGGTCACATGATCATAGGCACATATTATTCACAAAGGTAACCACAGGTTAGAGATGAGGGTATTTAAAACCCTCCTCCTACTTGCGTTTATGATTTGAGCCCACTGAGGTTTTGCTTTATCTTGTGTGCTTTTTCTTTCAGATTGTGTTAAACACAGCATTGCAAAGTTGTCTCATCTCCACAAAGCCGAGTTGAAGTCGCGCCTTGTTTTATGTTTTGTTTTGGTCTCTACGACATATTGAAGATCTCAGTCTGCGTGGTTATTTTCCTGTGACAAACTGCAGAAATAGCTTGTTTGGAGAATTAGGAGCCAGAACACAGGCTTCGGGCATTTGACTACTCCAACATGTAAATAGTTTAAATGTCAGAGGTGCAGCAACCCTTTGTCTGAAGACTTCTAATCAGTGTTGCCTCTCACTTGTTATTGGTTATTTGTGAAAAAAAAAAAAAGGGCTCCTGACATTCTTGCATGTTTATACATTTTTTTCCGTCCTATTTTTTACAAAAACTCTGCAAGAACATTGCAACAAACAAATCTAAAAACAGTCATCCTGAATAAGTTGATACATTGGACCCAACTTTTGTAAAAGCTGAAATGCATTGACAATCCACTGAAGCTGTGCGTACTGCATGGAAACGTCCAGGGGATAATATCATGGGTTGAGAGCAGCCAACAAAGTTACGCAAATCAAATTAAATTACAATAAAACAAACTCTTCAACTACAACCCAAGTTGTATCACCTTCCTCTGTCACTTGGTGGCGAAAAAGCTCCAAAGTTGGCTGTAGTGGCTCGGCTAAAATATATTTTTTAAACTCTAAGCTAACATCATCTGGGACAGTGGTTCTGATATTTAATGCAAATTAAACCAGAGCCTCTGTGTTTTGTAAGGTTATAAATCTGTATCGAACACAAACATTCAGCACAACACCTGTAGCTTTCAAAGATACTGCATGTCAGACATAATTGTGAGAAATGCATCAGAATACCTAAAACCCTCCCTACACACACACACACACCCATACACACACACACACCAAGAATAAAATCGTGTAGTCTGCATTTGCACAAAATATCTGAATATGCATGTGCAAGATGTAAAGTAAATGTGTCTAAATACTTCTAAATGTATAGTTTCATGTATTAAAGTGAGATCATAAACAGCTTTGATTTGCTGTTTTATGTGGTTTTAGTCTGTGTCTGTCTCAATAAAATGAGACAAGAGAACTACAAGTTCTTCTGCCCCTTCTTCCACTCTGTCAGTTATTTTCTGCCCCCAAATGAAATAAGCCAAGCTCCCTTTTTTGTCTCACAGGGTTGTGGATTACGTCATTGTAACCTTCCAGCGCCACACACCCTGAGCACAATGTAAAATACATCTACTCTTCACAGATAAGACCGTTTGTTTGGTGTGCTGCGTCATGATTCTTACTCAATGGTGCCATCTGCTGGATTAAATACGTTGCCTCGCCAGTGTTACAAGATGGTGCTAATGCTCAATCACTTATTGTGATTTTATATGAATCATGGTTGAATACAATATCATCCAGTATTTGACTGCCATATATGCTGCCATAAAACTGCCATCAAATCTGAGTCCATTATTTGAATGTGATCAATAACTCTCATTTTACTGGGACGTAAATTGGTCACAAGCATGTTGCTTGTGGGATTCATAAGAGTGTAAGAGCTATATTAGACTTAGTAAGATGTGTTAAGTGATGTATGTAACAAAAATGTTGAAATGCTCCTTCATTTGCACTAATTTAAGGCTACTCTATACTTACAGTCCACTACATTTACACTTATAGTTACTAGGTATTTTAAGAATTAAGATGTTACATACAAAACACAATTTTATGGAATATGATGCACTGTTATAGATACCCAACTGTATATAAAGTAGTTAAATGAGCTCTATCACATCACTGCATAAGTATAACATTGTAACACTGACACATGGTACATTTTTCTGCATTACTTTTAATACTTTATGCGTATTTTTTGGCTGTTACTTTAATAGTTTTACTTTACTTTTCACTATTTATGTAACAAAGTTTTTGTTAGATAAAGGATCTGAATACGTCTTCCACCACTCCTCTCAAAGAGAAAAAAAAAACACTGGGGCCCCCAGGAAATATTTTTTATTTTCATGTATTCCTCTCTTCGTTGCCTCAGTTGTTGTTTTTTCTTACCACTGCATGACTTTCATCAGTCAGTATTCCAAAGCAAAGTTTGTGTCGTGGAGATGGAGAGGAAGAGGGGTGCCTTCACGACATTCAATCCAACATACCGCACCAGTATTTATTGAGTAGTAGCATACGCGGCCTCTGGTGGATGGCTGACGAAATTGCAGTTGGCTTGGAAAGAACCACTGGTCAAAATAATTTCAGCACCATGGCCATGGACAGCTCCCAATGCAAATGACCAACATGGTTTGATGATGGATAGTGACAGGAGTTGCCCGGCCCTTTGCTGAGTGTCCGGTTGCTGTAACAGACCAACTGAGCAATTGTGATGTATTTTACTACCATTATTTCACCAAACACAATACAACAATTTCACTAAAACTTCTACAAATGCGGAGTTTAAAAGATACCAAAATTTGAGTTTGCACATTTTCATTCATGAATTCAATGTCTCTGAATGTATTTTGTTTAATGATTCTAAATAAACAGCAAAGAGCACAAAGAATGATCACACCTCTATTTTAGAAACATAGCTCTATTCCTCACACATCTGAAAGTCAGCCAAACTGACCTAAATATGGCTGCCCCTTCAGCCGTCCCTATGGATCACCTTACCGCAGAGAAGGTTAACCTGCTCCCCTCCCTGCTCTCTACGGACACCCGTTTCCTTATTAACTGAATTATTTTCAATCTGAGCCATACCACGACCTAATTACCCTACTCATTTCTGGCCGGTGGCCAGCTCTCATCTGTTGATGGTGGGACCTAATTCCCTGAGAAGTAAGATGTAAAAGGGCACAGAGAGAGAGAAGTCACAGGCCCTCTAGCTCACATCCAGGTATGGCATTTGGAGTTGAGCCTCCCCCATTTCCCTGATGCTTGTATTCGTGTTCATGGTGCTAATTAAAGTGATATTTCGAGAGAGGAGGTTTTGTTTGTTCAGTTAATGAACCCCACTATTCTCCGCGGGCAAATGGAAATGCAAGCACTCCAATTAGCATATGTTAGCATTTTACTGTGTTTATTCCTCACTGTGGAAAACAGCTCACCAAGGCAAAAAGCTTTCCACCCTTGTAAGAGTAGCTGTGGAACTTTATCCACACCAAAATAATTGACTCAAGCTAATTACACATACATATGGGAAACTTACATCTAAATGCTTCATGCATGCAGATCGACCAAATCTGTGTTTGAGTGTGTGCGTAATCAGTACGCATGGGTGGGGTTAGCTTCGAGTTTTATCAATTACACATGCATGTCTAGGAGTCATGACACAGACCTTGTGAAAAAAATACTTTATTTCCATAAATGTATACAGTACATGTGTGGGGAGAATCCCCCCTCTTTACAGTTGTCTGCATCATGTTGCAGCTTGCATATACATTTTTATACTTTGTAATATTCACACAAGCTCAGCGAACAAACATATACAAAAAAAAAACAATTTTTATTTTCATAAAACCAAAAATATAAAAGTATTTTCCACTGATGCTTTTTTGAAACATTTTGGATGTAATTGCTGCTCCAGTTTGATTGTCTAAATAATAATAATAATAATAATAATAATAATAATAATAATAATAATAATAATAATAATGATAATAATAGGCAGATGCACACATTGACCATGTTGCAGTGGCATGTCACATAAATAGCCATCAGACTTAATTTCCCTTCAGCATTTTAGCCAAACTGGATTGTTCAGTCATTATTTCGCTTGTATATTTTTCATCCAACTTGTAAATCATATGTTCATTAATCTATGAGTTGGATGTTCTCTTTCCTCTGTTTTCATATGAGGTTATATGTCATTTTAATATTCCATTCAGACAATCATTGAAAAGTCAGTCATTGTACAGGTCATTATTTATAATCGCAGCCTCTCCCTGGGGGGACATCTGAAGACGTCGCCTCTTGCCAAAGGTGGAGAAGGCATTGTGGACGTCGAGCTCGCTTCGCTGTACTGCGGGCCTCAGGGTGCAAAAGCCTGATGGTGTCCCAGGGATGTACACATTGTGGTGGTAGTCAGGTGGTGGGTGTGGGTGTGGGTGTGGGTTTGGGTGTGGGTTTGGGTAAGGTTGTGGGTGTGGGTGTGGGTGAGGGTGTGGTGGGATTGACGGCTGCTGCTGTTGGGGAGGAGGTGTGCACCGAGGAGTCCAGGGGCGAGAGGGGACCCCACTGGTCGAAGGAGACATCTTATAGTCTGTAGTATGACATAGAAGAGGAGAGAGGAGAGTAGAAGCAACTATTCATTATTGACTCAGGGCTGTATAGTAAAATTTTCAATTGCATAGCACTTCTCTAAAACGAAGTTCAGTGCTTTGCATCCAGGACAATAAACAAAGATATCGGCAACAAAAAAGAATAGAGCCATAATGATGTATCATATGTATTTGAGATTAATTAATTATAATAGACTATACCAATAAACAAATAAAATGGAACAAAGGAAAACAGAATGGCATTCCATAAAAGCATGGAGGTGTGCTGTGTTGTATAAAATACTTGGCTAAATGCATTATTTAACCCTAAATGTGTTAAATTTTGATGACAGCTCTTTGTGGTCCACTGTGTTTGGCCTGTCTTACCTTTCACCCCTCTCATATGAGTACCCCAGGTCCAGTATTGTCCAGGCGCCATGGATGTGACATAGTTTTCTGGGTCAGCATGCATGGCCTTACGCATGAGGGTGCCATCCATGTTGATGGAGTTATAACTGCAAACAAGATACCTTTCTGTAATGACAACATGCTTTACTCGTATGTAAATTCAATATCTATATCCATTTTAACACGACTGAGCTTCAGCTTATTATAGAGCATTGTGCTTTAGTACAGTAGGTTGGGTGGACAAAGGTCAAAGGTCAGAGTTTCAAAATGGTACCTTTTGATGGAGGAGTTCTGATTTTTCGTAAGAGTCCAGTCTGTGTTTGGCTGCTTCAGCTGCAGGAAAAACAACATGCCAGATTTTATTTCCACTTTGTAACAACAACAAAAACAATTCCAATTTTTAAATCCCCATATCCAGGCACATAATAGTGCAATGTCACTGCCCAGCTCTATTTCGAGAAATGTCTCTCTTCAAAGTACGTCTCAATCAAACCGGTCTTGATAACAAAGGACGCCTGTTCATTCTATCCTCTTGGATCAGTAGAGGTCAGTGGTAATTGACATGAGGAGCAGTCTATCTTCGTGCTTGTCCTGTAATGGAGACATGCCTCATGTCACATGGACCGCGGCTGCCGCCCTGTGGATGTTTGGTGGAACAGAATTTGTAAGAGCGGAGGTGATGTTGCCTTCAGCTACGACTCGCCTGTCACTTAGTTTCGCTTGCATCATATGTGGCGCAGCGTGAGAGGTGAATGAGAGCACCCGAGAGATATGTATTCCCTGTCTGAGTAGTGTTGATTCTACGCTCTATTAATTCTGTTAAAGTTGTTAACACCGAGAATGCGACGTAAGCGTATTATTAGAATCGGTATTCAAAATACACTCCCCGCCAACAACGCACAAAACCAATTAGAACCCCACCGGGATGAAACGAAACATGATTTTAATCTTCAAAGGAAACCGTGCCAGGGAGGAAATTAAGAAAATTACACACGTCATTGTTTTGTGGATTTTATTCATCATTTTTACATTAATATTTGCCTGATGCTCCTCGAGCAAGGTTTTTAATTAAAAGTGTCTTAGAAAGCCTTGAAAAGTTTGCGGTCCTCGCAGCTGTATTTGCAACAGCATAACCCTGAGAGCTCACTCAACACGCATACGCACATCACCGCCGCAGGCGTACACGTGCACGCACATGTCCTGCGTGTCTTACACGCTTGCATGTTTTTGTAATCTCTCTTTTCACCTTCAATTCATCCATTTAAGCAGACCTATGTACTTCCTTTGTGTGCTGCTCACATTCTTTAATTGAGATTTGTCTTTGAGGTTTTATGTGTCACTGACAACCTCACGACGACTCGTGTACGCTGAGGGACACACCGGGTGAATTAGGGGAACCAATTAACGACAGGAAGGACACTTTCTCCCGAAGGAGCATATAGCTGCAGGCAGAACAATCACCGTGACCTCGAAATCCCTCTTGTGGCCAGAGGTGCATGTGCCAGTGACCGAACTGACATTTCTCAGTTGTCCTGATGGAGACTGGTAACATGGCTCTGAATCGTTGTCCCTCTGCAGTTTGATGAAAATAGGGAGGCGACAATGAGCAGTACGTACATATCGGTCTGCTGCCCCGTCTATTAGAATTAGAAAACGCTAGACGTCCTGCAAATTCTCTTTCTCCTCGTCTCCCTTTCTTCCCCTCCC